ATTAATATAATGTAATATAATGTGATATAGTATTGTGTACTATAATGCTATATTTTTATAGTATTATGTAATACACTATACTATAATATTATAGTATTATGTAATACACTATACTATAATATAATTTATTATATACTATATAATATATACTACATATATTATAATATAGCATAATATAATATGATGTAATATAATGTATAAAATATAGTACTATATAATAAAATATGTAATAAAATGTAATATAATATAACAATAATATAATATAACATAATACAATGTAATATAATACAGTATGACACAATACATAGTATGATATAACATAATTATAACGTAATATAATATGGTATAATACAATATATAATATAATATAAAATAATATAATATAACATAATATAATATAACATAACATAACATAATATAATATAATATAATATAATATAATATAATATAATATAATATAATATAATATAATATAATATAATATAATATAATATAATGTAGTATAATATAATATAATATAATATAATAAATTAAAATAAAATAAATCATAATATAATAAAACATTAATGTAATATAATATAGTATAATATAATATAATGTGACGTAATGCAATATATTATAATATAATGTAATGTAATGCAATGTAATATAATTAATATAATGTAATATAATGTGATATAGTATTGTGTACTATAATGCTATATTTTTATAGTATTATGTAATACACTATACTATAATATAATTTATTATATACTATATAATATATACTACATATATTATAATATAGCATAATATAATATGATGTAATATAATGTATAAAATATAGTACTATATAATAAAATATGTAATAAAATGTAATATAATATAACAATAATATAATATAACATAATACAATGTAATATAATACAGTATGACACAATACATAGTATGATATAACATAATTATAACGTAATATAATATGGTATAATACAATATATAATATAATATAAAATAATATAATATAACATAATATAATATAACATAACATAACATAATATAATATAATATAATATAATATAATATAATATAATATAATATAATATAATATAATATAATATAAAATGTGATGTAATGCAATGTAATGCATTATAATATAATATAATGCAATGTAATATAATTAATATAATGTAATATAATGTAATATAGTATTGCATACTATAGTGTTATATTTTTATAGAATAATATAACATACTATACCATAATATAATATAATACATATAGTATAATATATATAGCATAATATAGTGTAATATAATATAATATGATGTAGTATAATATTTAAAATATAGTATTGTATAATATAATAAATAATATAACATAGTATAATGTAATTATAAGATAATGTAATGTAATATAACACAATATAATATGACATAATACATAATATGGTATAATATAATTATAATATAAGATAATATAATTTAATATAGTATAATATAATATGGTATAATACAATATATAATATAATATAATATAATATAATATAATATAATATAATATAATATAATATAATATAATGCAATACAATACAGTATAATATAATATAATGCAATGCAATGCAATGCAATGCAATATATTTTAATATTTGCAAAAAGCCAACAATCTCTGTATTTTTAACCCCTCACCACCCCAAGCTGGTGAAGGGGATGAATTTCTCACCCCAGGTTGGTGAAGGGGATGAATTTCTCACCCCAGGCTGGTGAAGGGGATGAATTTCTCACCCCAGGCTGGGGAAGGGGATGAATTTCTCACCCCTCTCACCCCAGGCTGGTGAAAGGGATGAATTTCTCACCCCAGGTTGGTGAAGGGGATGAATTTCTCACCCCTCTCACCCCAGGTTGGTGAAAGGGATGAATT